TTAAATAGTTAATTTAATAGTATCTTTGTCAAAAAAAAATTATAATATCTTCAAATTTATATTTTATTCAAAAATAAAAACATTATCGTTTTTCTAAAATCACATAAGACCATATTATAATATCGACAGAGATAAAAAATAAAACAAAATATTAAAATCAAGATGTATCTTGCTGTATTGCACGGGTACCCTTCTAGTAATTTAAAAGATATTTGTTTCAATAAAACATGTCAATGTTTAAACCATAGATTTTTTTAGAGTAAATTACATTTTTAGTCCTTATGATTGTTATTTATTATTATTTTTTGTTCTTATCTTGAAATAATTATGTTTTTGGTTATCGTGGTTACTGTTTTGTCACACTTTTGGTCCCTCTGACTAACTTTCATTAACAAAAAACATGTTAAATTAGGGTGGGTAATGGGGTGCATCATTAATCTATACAAATGAAGCATTTGTATATTGAAATTTATTTAAAAAAATGGAAAAAGATAAAAGAGTAAAAAGACTAAGATACCCTCAACTTAACTGAGTTTTTGCAACAAAATTAGTAGCTAAGGGGTTGTTTGGCAGTTGCTGAATGGTTTTGTGCAGAATGGTTAAGTGGTCAGAATGGTTAAGAGGGTCAGAATGGTTAAGTGCTGAATGAAATATGGTTGTTTGGTAAATGTTATCTGAATGACAACAAATTACCATTTTAACCCTCTGTATGATTTAGTACTGAATGAAATATAGTTGTTTGACAGATATCTAAATAAAACAATTACTTTGAAAATGTAACTACATATTTCATATTAATCCAAACAAACATAACATTACTTGTTCAAAACAAGATTTCATATTAATCCAAACCAATATAACATTACTTGTTCAAATTATAGAATAAACAAAAACATAACAATCAAATTCCAATATGATAGTTTTTTCACTAGTCTCATACACGTCCAGGGTTCTGTTAGCATCCGATGCATCTTCAACACTCTTCTCATTGCCTCTGCTTTTTCCAAATATCAGGCACAACTCATCATAACAAGGAAATGGCTTATTTCTCAAGCCCTCAACACTCTTCTATTTGATGTGGTTACCTTCACCCACTCATCCCATACATCATCATAGCATATTAATGTGCACTATGTACCTCTCCACTATATACCAAATGCATCTTTCATATTTGTTATTGCATCACAGTGCTTCTTTAATGTTTTGAGCCTTGATTCAATATGAGGACTAGCCTTTAGATTACATCCAGGAAGCTTACACCTGAGCAACCTGCACAAAGACAAAGTTCCTGGTTTGACATATTTTCCAAGTCCAAAACATGGGTTGAGCTATGGGTTCCTAAATCCATTACTAAAATACTACTTACTACTGTTTTTGTATTGAACTAACATATACCAAAATGATTAGCTCATATGTTAAAAGAAGATCGAAAAGGAATGAACAAGAAGCACACTTGCTGTTAAGTATTACAAATTGCACAAATAACTTGAATCCACCAACGATCAAATCGATTACCTCATCATATCGATTTGAAAAACAAAAAAAATGATGCACGTAAACATGAGATTTCATACAAGAAATTAGGGTTTCACTCACTTTTGGATTTGGGTTATGCTTTCATCCACAATATGATTGCAGAGAGAATAAGCATTCCCCCCCCCCTACCAGTAGATGGTTTCAGTTGGTGGTTTCAACCAGAAAATGAGATGGTTTCAATCGGTGGTTTAGACCAGAAAATGAGATGGTTTCAGTCGATGGCGACTGTGGAAGCGAGGATATCGATTTTGGGGAAATACCTGAAGCAAACGGCGACTATGGAAGCAGATGGAGGGAACGACGACCGTGGAAGCAGTGGGATTATCGCAGAAGGAGACGACGACCGGAAGAGATATGATCGGGGGGGGGGGAGACGGAGACCAACGATCGTGGGGGGTGGGAGGCGATGTGAAGGAAGCGCTATGTAGAAAGGGCAAATTTGGAAAAAAATAGATCTGAATGGTTTAGTGAAGGCTTGGACACAAAATGGTTAAGAGGGTTATGTAACCATTAAGAGGCTTGATTTTTTTTGCCAAACACTCCTTACCTCTTATCGATTAAGAGGTTGGCTCTTAATGTCACCATTAAAAGCCAAACAAACAGCCCCTTAATAAGCTTAATGAAATTCGTAACTTATTCGGTCAACTATACATCTATATACATGATTATTTGGTAGTAGTTTAATCATATTAAAATTGACTTATTCAGTAAGTTTCAAGGAGAGTTTTATGCAGAAAACAAAGTTTTTTTTAAAACTTGTCCCTTCTAATTAAAAAAATGTTCCTTTTTATTTATAAAAAAACTTAAACTAACAAAACATTCATTTGATTAAACTAAAAAAATGTTAAATATATTTCTCCAAAAAGAAGAATGCAAAGTTTTCGCAACTCTCACTTAGATTTAGAGGTGTTCAAAAACCCGACCAACCCGGTCAGTCCAACCCAATCTAACGTGGGATAATTCAAACCGAAGCAACCCGATGTCTAATCGAGTTGTAAAATTTTCAAACTGTAGGTATTAGGTTGATATTATGTTACTATTATTTGAAACCAACTTAACCCGATGAACTCGATATTCTTTTATTTCTTGGATTTACTATGATTATTGAGTTTATATTAATATATACATTAGATAATTACACTATCACGTACGCTCTTCATATATACATATTTTCAATCAATTTTCCATCCTTATATAACTCATTCGTATGTTCAGTAAGTGTGAACATATATATGTAAATTGAGAAAATTAATTGAATGTGATATACATAAGAAGTATGAATAAGTTGTATCAAATGGTTGATAATGGAAAATAAATTATGAGTAACGAAATAACATATTTAATGTTAGAATAATACGATTTAGGTTGGGTTGGGTTGCAATTTAATTTGGGTTAGATTGAATTAAGACTCTTCAAACCACATACATTAGATTGAGTTATTAAATACGTTGACCACTTTAACCCAACTCATACTCACATGGATCGGGAATCGATTTGGAAATGAAATGTCTTATTCTCTGGAGAAATCGTTAAGCAGAAATCGATTTCGTAAACGACATGGATCGGAGAATCGTTAAGTACAAATCGATTTGGTAAACGACAGGCGTCGGAGAAATTGTTACGAATCAGATAAGCATAAATCGTTAAGCAGAAACTGGAAGCAACAAAGATAATCGATAAGCAAAAACAGGATGCAAGCAGAAATCGTTTAGCAGAAACAAATAAGCAGAAATCATTAAGCAGAAACTGGAAGCAACAGATAAGCAGAAATCATTAAGCAGAAACTGGAAGCAACAATAGTAATCGATAAGCAGAAACGAGAAGCGAGCATAAATCGTTAAGCAGAAACCAGAAGCAACAGATAAGCAGAAATCGTTAAGCAACAATAGTAATCGATAAGAAGAAATGGGAAGCAAGCATAAATTGTTAAGCAATGATGAAACTGGAAGATGGTATTTTGTTATTTACACAATTTTGGAGGAAATGGATTTCAATTCCATCATTTTTACGAAGGAATGGTGAAAATCCTCAAATGAGAAAATGTTTGGAATTCAATTCCATAGATAACCAAATGTTGGAATGGAATTTGGTCAACAAAATTGACCATTCCAATTCCACCAGATTACCGCGGAATCCGACTAACCAAACGCGGCATTAGTTTCCATAATCTCTTGGAAAATAGGATTAAACAAAAGAAATTTGGTTGACTTTGACTTCCACTGATTGCATCTACCAACCATTCTTTATTAACCAAATTGATTGATTCTCATGATTACAACAAGATTATGGCTTCTAAATCAACTGAAATTTTGGAATCAGATCTCACAAGAAGTAAGCATTTATTACTATAATCCTGTTTTCAATCTGATTATGTTGCAATCATTAACATTGTCTTCTCCATTTGAGCTTTGAATTGCTAATTTGACACCAAAATTGATGATGTTTCCCCAGAGGATCACGAGGATAAACGCGAATGCAAGTCCGAATTGGATAATGGTGGCAGTTTTAAAGGCGATGATGAGTATCCTAGTGGCGAATTTGAGTTTAAAAAACCAGGTGTGTGGAAGAGCTCCGTGGTGAAGCTACGGATGATGGTTGCTTATCCATGGCAACGTGTTCGTAAGGGCAGTGTTTTGAATATCAAATTGCGTGGCAAGGTTTGGTGGTTTTTAGCCCTTTTTCATTTTTAACTTTCCTTCATGTGCATCGAATATTTGATTATTTAATTGATGATTGATGAACTGGAGAACTTTTTTTAAGATTTCAATAAGAAAACTTATCATAGAAGGCCATACTTTAAGACTGCAGATGAGACCTTTTTTCCAATCTGTAACTGATGTTAATCCCGTTGATTCTGTGAATACCCGGGAATAATCTCTTCTAAAGCTCATCGAAATAGTCTCAAACTCGAATTCAAAGTGAACTAAGAATTTGGATGGAAATGAAAAATTTCTGTATTCAACAAGTGACCATCAAGATTACAACTTCTAACACATAAATAAGGAGTCCAATAGGGAATGATGGACCGATCATAAATTATAAAAGACCAATCAGAAAATGGAAAAATAGCAAAAAGAACACAAAAATGATCCCAAAACATGTTTAAAAGACGTTTTTAGGCCTCAAAAATACCCGGAAGGGGCATATCCCAGGGCGTGCTCCTCATTCTAAGCTTTGAATCGGCGTATCGTGGGCCTGAAACAGAGACAAGAGCAAAAGTAATGCGCATTTAAATGCGACTCCCCTTGTTGACCCGGTCATGAGCTTCTAGGAACCCAGTCCTCCGCATCAGTAACATGACCCTTATGGAAGTACTAGATAGAATCCATGCATAGTTGGAAGTAGAACCACGGAATCTATAGCTTGGTTTGGTTAACTGGGGATCTACACCAACTCTTCATTCTTATGAATGAGTTCCTCATTATTAGTTGATATCACACAATTATGTTAACTGAAGTGAAAGAATTGGATGACAAATTGAATTTTACTGTTGCAATTTTCAGATATCTGATCAGGTGAAGCGTGGTTTCTCTTCAGGGTTATCCCTACCTCAAATCTGTGAAAACTTAATAAAGGCAGCATATGATCCTCGTATATCTGGGGTTTATCTTCACATCGAAACCCTGAAATGTGGATGGGGTAAAATTGAAGAAATTCGAAGGCACATATTGGACTATAGGAAGTCAGGTTGATTTACAATCGTCTTTATGGAATTTTGATTGAACTTATGGGCCGTTACCAAATGCTTACCGGCAACAACACCACCCTCAAAATGGATTGTTTGTAAGCGTTTCTTACCTAGTAACCGTTAACCGGGTAAGAGTTTTCTCCCTCACTTACTAGGTAAGATTCTCGCTACTTGCCATGCTCACCCAATAAGGTAAGTGACCCAATAAGCACTTGCCTAGTAAGCATTTGGTAAATGGCCCCTTACACGGTGTAGTGCAATTACTTAGATGAGTACTGTGTATCTTTTGGCCTTTAATGTTATACCAATTTCTGAATCTTTTAAATGAGTAAACGTCGATTTCTTATGTACTCTCTTTTGTTACCACAGATAGTAGGTCAATAGAGATGCACAATAAGGCTGAGGACTAAGACTGAAACCGAGGAATGGGACCACTTAAGGCTCGGTCTAGGCCTTTGGGCCTAAAATTAGATGAAGTTATTGGACCAAGGACTGGTCCTCAAAAGCCCGGTTCAGGTTCAATCCCGGTTCATGCCTGGTCAAATCCCGAATAACAGCTAGTTTATCTATTAATATACAAAAATCAATACCAGGGGTCCGGTTAGGACCAGTTAGGCCCGCTGGGCCCAAATCAGGTCTTAATTTTTTTGGTCAAGACCGGTTATAGGAGGACTGGGACTGTTAGTCAAACCTGCCAAGGACCAGTCTTTGGCCATCTCTAGACGACAATGCCATCTATTTTCCCTGTTGCATCTGACACAATGAGTAAATTTTCAACTACCATAATTCTGTTATCTCTATTAACTGTGATAATTCAATTTAGGGAAGTTTATCATTGGTTATGCACCTGCATGGAGTGAAAAGGAGTATTACCTTGGCTGTGCATGTGAAGAGCTGTATGCCCCTCCAAGTGCTTACTTTTCATTGTATGGTTTAAATCAGCGAGCACAATTTTTTGGAGGTATGTTGACATATTACATTTCAGCTCAAGCTTTATATGAGTAAGCAGAATGAAATATACGGTTGTCCCTGTTGGGTTGGGTTCAGGGAAAAACCACAAAAAAATGGAAAAGTGAGGAAGACCCTAATAACCATTCATTTGTTCGGTATGCACATGTGGATAAGAGTAATTTGTCCGGTATGCACACGTGCATAGAAACTGAAAAACATTTTCAAATCACTTTTATGAACATGTGCATACCGGATAAATGAATGTTTATTAGGGCGTTCCTCAGTTTTCGATTTTTTTGGTTTTCCGTTTATAGTTAATACAGAATGACAGTTAACACCTTCTATACAGAGAATTTTACTTGCTAAGTTTTCCTGCAATAGAAAACTGAAGTTGATTCATAATGTGGCTTTTCCAATAACAAATGCAATAACTATGGGTATTTGAATGTAATTTATGAATCAACTTGGGGATAATGGGTTCAAGATTGATGCAGAGTATGAAAACTGAAACAAAGATTAAACCTGTTGATTCCGTGAATACCCAGGAATAATTTATTCTAAAGCTCGTTGATTCAACAAAAACCTTAGCTTTAGGCTCAAACTCGAATTCACAGTGAACTCAGAACTTGGATGAAAAAAATGAAAACTACTGTATTGATCAACTGACTCCAGAATACACCTTAAGCAAATATAAAAGAGTCTCAAACATAAACGAGCCTGGAAAAGATGATAGGCCAAACATAAAAGCCCAAACTGAAAATGAAAAACACAAAACATGCTTAAACAGTGTTTTTGGACTCAAAAATCGTGTAGGCCTGAAACGGAGACCTGTAGCAAAAGTTATGCGCACATAAGCGCAACACCCCTATTGGCCTGTTCATGAGCTTCCAGAACAATAACGCTTGGTCCTCCAAGCATAGGCCCACATCAAAGATTTATCAGTCGAGGACTGTAAGGCCAATTTGTCAGTTTTAGCTATATAATATATCACCTTTAGTTCTGTTAGTAAAACTATTTTTCCTGGCATATTGCAAAAGCAAAAAGCATAACTACTTTTGTCTCTCAGCATGATAGTATATGTAGTCTTACAAAACAAGTATGGTTACATGTATATACCTAGACCTATAAAATCTCAAGATCAACTTCTAAACTTAACCAGAGTGCTATGCATAAAGGTGTACTTGAGAAAGTAGGTGTGGAACCACAAGTGCACAGGATTGGTAAATATAAGAGTGCTGCTGATCGACTAATTCGCAAGGATATGTCCGAAGAAAATCGTGAGGTGCTTACTACATTGCTAGATCACATCTATGAGAATTGGGTTGATAAGATTTCTCAAGCCAAAGGTGAAGTTACTTTGTGGTTTCACTGTTTCACCTATCTTAATGTATCAAAGTAAGCAGTTTGGATTGTTTCTTTTACAGGAATGAAAAAGGAAGAAATCGAGCATTTTATTAATGAAGGAGTTTACCAAGTAGAGAAGTTGAAAGAAGATGGATGGATTACAGATATAAAATATGACGATGAGGTAGACACTGGAAAAGAACATGTCCAGATATCTTGTATTAGGAATGGAGCATAATTCTTCCAGAAAATGAGAAATCATATCCTAACTTTTGCCATTAAATAGTTATTGGATTTCAAAATGTTAAAAAGCTTGGTTATTGGGTTATCATCTCAAATTGCCGCCTCATGAAAAAACATTATTTTATAGCCACCTCACAGTTTTTTCTCACAAAATAGCCAAGAAACCACAAGTCAATGCTGCAATACACTTTTTCTTGCGGTTTCTAACAAAATCTGACGCATCCAGTGACAAAGTGGGCCCACTGCAAAAACTGTTAGAAAACCGCAAGTCGCGTTACTGTAGTCCCTTGCATCTATGCACAAAAAAACAAGCCAAAGTCGCGAGATGCCAAACCACAAGCTTATTTCGCAGTTTCGCAACTGCAAGGCCATCAGCTTGCAAAACTGTAAGAAAAAGTGCCTCGCGGCATTGACTTGCGGTTACTTGGCTCTTTTATGAGAAAATTTAGTCAAATGGCAATAAAGTAAAATTCTTTTCCTTATATGGTTATTTATGATGAGAACCCTTGATTGATTATTGATGTTTGTGGTTTGCACTTTCATCTACTACAAAGGTAGTTCTAGTGTATCATATACCTCACTTTGTTTTTTTATATTCATTTATAGATATACCATTTCAGATATGTTACTGGTATTTGTGTGACCTTTTCAGGTTACATCTATGTTGAAAACAAAACTGGGCATTGCAAAGGAGAAAAAACTTCCGTCTGTTGCTTACAAGTAATGATCTCTCTTTTATAGTCTCTTTTTTCCCAGAATCTGCCTGTTGCTACTCTTTCTGCTTGCATCACTGTCTCTACTACTTAACAATTATGTCTCCCTGAAGTTCCTCTACCCTACATATTCTTTTATAGTAATCTTCATACGTGAGCATTTATTTTGCTGTATTACTAAAAATGTGATCTTTGTTGTCTCATAGAACAAATTCACTACAAGAATATTGGGTTTATAGGACATGAATTGAGTGTTCCAATAGACTTTTTATAGGACCAAATACTATTGTGTCCTATCTAAAGGTGTTGTAATAAGTTTATATGATGCTCTTGGGCGTCTTAAAAACTTTTTAGGACACTTTGAAACGAAGTGTAATGTTAGCCCTTTTATAGAACACTATTTGAAAAAGTATCTCATAAAACAAGTGTCCTATAAACATTTCGTTTCAAAAGTGTCAGAAAAAGTTTGTTAAGATGCCCAAAAGCGTCCTATAATCTTACAACACTTTTAGATAGGACACACAAAGGTAGGTCCTATAAAGTAGTCTATAAGGATGCTTAAACACTTTGGCGTCTTGTAAATTCAATTTTGTCGTAGTGAAAGACTTAATACCTAAACTTTGCGTCTTTTTTATGGTAATTATGAGATGTAATTGTTGTCTTATGTTGTGGTTGTTAATCAACCTTGGGGGCGGAAAGTTGTTTTTGGCACAAAATCGATGTTTTTGACTAGGAAGAAAAATCACAAACACATACACACAAATATTACGGAACAATAATGAGTAAGCAAGAGATATGATACCGAGGTTTAGAGAGGTCCACCAAAACGTTATTAGTCCTTTTTCCCCGAGACCCTTCTTGAGACATCAATTGACTATATTTGTACTTTATGGTAGAACACAAACCTTCAACAATAGATGTTTACAACAATCTTTTCCAACTTTTCTAAGCTAGAAAATAGTGAATCTCACACACACTAAGGAAATCACTTACAAGATGAATATTAAATAAACACTTGTTCCTAAATCAATCTCTCTTGAATGAATGTGTTTTTCACTTGAATGAGAGTGAAAGAGAATAGCTTTAAATGCTGGAGAAAATAATCAGAAATGTATTCAATGTGGTGTCATGAATGAGCCTTCAAAGCATTTTATTTAAACAAAAGGGATAACAAGTCTGCCGGCTTGTGGACGTCCGCAATTCTACTTTTTTCAGAAACTGTCAGATTTTGCTGTTTGTAAACACATTTTGTCAGAAAAGTTATAAGCTGGGGACGTCCGAGAAGCCAATCGAAACATCCGGGATTAGTTTGACAGATTATTTTAATCAACCACTTTTCAAAAAGTTTCTTACACACTCAACCACCGTACTTCTTTTACCAAAAGCATGTTAAACATTATAGGATCCCCATTATATATTTATGTTGTTGAAAGTTTGGCCAAGAGTTGGTGAATTCAAATCAAGATTTACAAAAGTAAATTATTCAATAATGGGGTATTTTGAAAATCAAGTCTTTAAAAAAAACCCTTCTACAAGATATTATTAGTTTTATAAAAATTGCCATCATTTTATAAAGGTACAAAGTAATTTTTATGATACCACAAAATCAACTTTGAAAGGGATTTTATTAAATATCTCATCCAATTAAGAAACTGATTTTTGAAATTACAACTACATATCAATATTACTAATTAATGAAGTTGTTGCTTGCGTGATACGTAATTGAGACTTCATATTAATTTGTTGGGGCAGTTCCCAAGAATATATTTGATAATTTGCATGCATTTCGAGGCTACATATGGTTTTTCTAATTTTGTCTTTTGATTTCCATTGATTTTTCTATGCACATCGATTGCAAATATTAGTACATGAATTTTGTTGGGTTTTATTTGTTATCGCCAAACTTAATGAGATTGTCAAGTGTATATTTAATTAAATAGTTTTGTAAACTTGCACCAAGAGTGGTTATTGTATTCATTTGTAGTAGTTCTCTTGTGCAAATTAATGTGAAGATTGAAGTGGTTTGGTCACGTTCTTAGGAGACGGATGGCGGCTCTGGTGAGGAGGTTAGAAAGTGTGAGGGTCGAGGGAGTGAGGAGGAGGGGTAGGCCGAGGAGGACTTGGGATGAGCAATTGAGATTAGACATGGCGACTAAAGGCAATTTCTGAGGACGACCTCTGATAGAAGCTTTTGGAGACGCATGATTAGGGTAGCAGACTAGAGGTGGGAACTTGTAGCTAGCCTAGACAGGAAGAAGGAATCTGGAGAGATAGAGGATGGGGGAAGGGTTAGTGAGCCGACAATTGGATCTTTTGAGTCCTAGATTAGACTAGGGGAATGTAGTTATTCCTGCCTTGGTTGTGTTTTCTTGTCTCTGCTATCTTTTCTTTTGTATGTTTTGTTGGTTTGTTTATTTGTTTGTCGTTTTGAATGTTGTTGCTTCCTTCTAACTCATTTTCAATTTTAGCATTGCCTTTCATTATTTCAAGTTCTTATGTTCTGGTTCTAGATATTTTTTGAGCAAGTTTCATTTTTTCTTTTCGCACACTTTGCACAAGCCGGGGTCTTTACAGAAACAGCCGCTTTACACTTCAGTATAGAAGTCATGTCTGCGTCCATCCACCCCCAGAGC